AGCTATTTAAAATTTCTTTTTATCCAAGATGTTCTTTTGCAAATGTTTTCGAAAAGTATAAAATATTTTGCAAATGAATTCTTGATGCGCATTAGAACTATATTTCTTGGACGAGGTAACCATGTGTGCACAAAAGGGTTGAGCCTAAGCACTAAATAGCCCAGGGGGATTAATTGAGATGCTCAATTTGGTGTGGCCAAGTATATCTAGTGGGGCAGGTTGGAGTTGTTTTGGATAAGAGAGAAGAGGTGTTTTAGGTTAATTTGAAATTTGAGAGAAGCTTAATGTGGTTACTCACATGGCACATCCCTAATACCGTACGAGAGAGTTCTTGCATTCCAATGCATCGCTGTTGAGGTTGGGGCCGATATCTTTATGTGCACCTACATGTGCAGAGAATCACAAAAGTGAGGATCTCCTTTTAGAAATAAAAGGAGTTAGTTGGATGTAACTTTCCTAGACTTACCCACCTCTGTCAGTAAAAGTGCATCTTCCAAAGAATCATTGCAACATATCCCCTTATCGGAAAAAGTGAGAACTCTTAGAGTTATCTATCAACACTAGGGATTCATGTTGTGTAGTATCCACCTAGTTCTAATAATCAAAAGAGAGACTTAAAGGAGTAGCATCGAACGCTCGACATGCAAAAAAAAAAAAAACAATCAGCTTTAAAAAGGGAAATCATAGTCGTGCAAAGTATATCACCTCCATGTGTTCCTCGTATATCTTGTTCTTGTGCTCATTTATGTTGTATTGAGATGCCTATGGTGTTAGACAAAGGCATCATCCTATCTTGTATTGGTCTATGGGTGCCACAAAGAGAACAATCACACAGTGTGTCTCGTTGGAAAGAACAATAGTCTATAGTCCTCAAATGAGATGTTTCCTCCCAAGAAGAAAATTATGGGCTTCCATAGATTGGTGCATGCCGTAACCTGTTGGTGAGAATGGGTGCAATCGTTTGATTGTCATAGATTGTGACATTAATCATGAATCCGATAGAGCACAAATTTTAGTTCAACTACACAAATTAGTTTAAGTAATAAAATCATGTGAGCTGACTTAAAGAAGATCTATTCTCAAATAAATATTGCTCGAGGGTATTGATAAAGCAAAAATCCATTCTTACTTTCTTGTGGAGCTATGCTTGTTAGTTTAAAAGCGTGAGAGCATCAATTATGCATCACAATCCTACCGTATCACTGGATGATGCTCTCTTTGATCTCCTTGCTTAGGAGACACATTTAGCATTTCTTGAGGCTTGCAAATCTAGCATAGAAAATTTCACCTATATAACACTAATGTTGTTTTAGAGTTTACGTATAAACCGAAATTTCTATGTTCCCCCTACAACATACAAGTTCTATCCTCCCCCTTATCCAACCATCCATTTTTAATGGAGGGTTAAGATTGCCCCAATCACAATGTCACGTCTGTATACTATTTTACTTTTAATTTGATTTTCTATAAACTATTTTGACACCAAATTTTGGACGTCCATTCATCTATTAAACTCGCACTAACAAAGAATATAAAAAAAATATTTTCAATAAAATAAAATGACCAAAATACCCCCGGCATTTTCAAAAGGTATTTTGGTAATTGTTTTTTTAACGAAAAATTATTGTTAATATTTTTCATAGGTGCGCCCCAATGAGAAGATGACACATACCAAATTTCATATTCAGAAAACATGTATTAAAAAAACTAAAAATAAAATACTTTGGGATGTCGGATCTAAGATCAAAAAGTGAGTGGCTCTCTTGTTAAAAAATGGACGGCTGGATGGTAGGGGGAAAATAGAACTTCTATCTTGTAGGGGGAACATAGAAAGCTTTCCCTAAACCGAAAAGTGACGAAACGGAGAAGCTTCTAGATGCAATCTAAGGAGCATCAAATACTAAAACAAATCTATCTCATAACTCGCAAATCATTTTTATCTGAATTTTGGTGTGCATAAAATAGACTAAAATATTTTTCAAATGAGTAAAGTATTCCTTAGAAACAAATTTCTGCCGAACTTAAATTTATCACGTCACATTCTGTTAACAACTATGCACAGTATATAACCAGTTTTCAGTTCGCAACTTAGAGAGAGAATTTTATGGCGAAACTTTAACAGCAAAGTAGACTTAAAAAGATTTTAAACTTTAATAGCACAAATTAGACTTGGAGATCATTCAACGAGAGAGAAGTTGCAAAAATTTGATACTTCTGGGTCCTTGAATTAATGACTTGTAAATTTCTATATGCCATCTATAAATTTTCTGCACCTTGTAGAACACAAACCCAACTCATAGGGAAACTGAATAGAATGCCAATAGATAACCTGGCATGACCTCTAGGGACTTAGATTCACATGGATGGAAGTTTAGGGCTTAACCTGTGAGGACTTAAGATCAGCACTCCCTCTCCACCTATTAAGAAAACCAACTATGGTGAACGGAGGTTCTAGGTGTAGACACCAAGATACAACCTTCATTATGAGTTTAAAACCATGAGAGTTGGTCCACCAGTCCACTACTGATAGTTCTACGAGGTCCCTACAGGTCCCCACATATTCTAGAATCCCAAGAGGCAAATGACCTTCCAAATTCTTATCTTTTCATATTCCATTCATGGACTTGCCCAACTTCATGAAACTCTCCCTTCAAATTCCACAAAGGACTTTTCACCTTCTGAATGCGTAGCAGAGTCCTATCATTTTGAATTCCATTTCACCTTCCAAATATGAAGAATCCACCAAAGATTGTTCATGTACGAATATGAAGACTCCATAATGGGATTATCCTTTCCAATTACTAAGAGTCCATCCTTGGAAATAAATACTAGGCTTGACTGTTCATCTCATGAATACAAATAGTATAGGCTTCACTGTTCATCTTCTGAATATGAAGATGAAGGTCCACTTTTCAAGCACCAATGGCAGGGTCGAAATGTCAACCACAGGGTGTCATATTCTGTTTCCGGATTGGAATCTCAGCGGCAGTCTAGACATACGCCAAAACAATGTCATTCAATTCGTTTCGGTTTTACAACCCTATTGAGAGAATGAATGCTACATTAAGTAAAGGATCTACTTTTTATGAATTTTTTACCCAGGTCATGCAGGTATCTTGTTATCCTCCAAGGCCTCTTGATGGCTTAGCGCCTGATGGTTAAGGTCTGAGACCATCATGCCATGGCTATAAGTGACCGCCTTTCTGTGTTACAACATGAGGACTCAAAACTCCTTTCCGAGCGTGGCAAGTCATTAAGAACATTCATGTCCACCTTCTAAGATTGACTGTGTATCTAATTTTACCGAGCCACAGTGCTTTCGCCCTGATGCAGGGCATTAGCAATTCCACCGGAATTCCAACACTCTACACGTTCTTAAAGTCTCAATAAAGGTTGCAACTATGAGCAATTGCAATACAACTTATGCAAACAAAAAGGACACTCATTATAAATAAAAAAAACAAGGACACACTACTAATCATTGCAAGAAACTAATTTTCTTTAACTACTATAAACTATGCAATTGATAATTGCTTGAAACACCCCCATAGATTCAGAGTTGTATATGCAATTATTGTACATCATTATTTAAGGTCAAAATACTGAACTCATTGTCAGAAAAGGATATTGTGACAAGGTGCAGTTAGTTGTTCAAGGATATGCATAAAGAGTATGGAATTAATAAATGAAAAATTTATGTCCTAATTGTCAAGAAGATCACTATTCGTACTCTTCTTGACTGACATCACTTTGTGACTGGAGTACATAATGAATGGATGCCAAAAATGCCTTCCTTGATAAAGACATCTAGGAGGAAGTTTACATGTGTCAAGCACTCACACTTGCTACTTGAGATCCCTCTTTGGTCTATTGACTTCATAAAGCACATTGCTATTACAGGCTCTGTGTGAATGGTTTGAACGCTTTTATATTACCATTCTTACAACTAGGATATGATTAATCCGTCTTTGTTTGTATGACAAGTTGCAGCGTTCACATTATTTTACTATATGATATTCTCAATCTCTTGAGATCACCTCATCTCAATCGAAGATGTGAATCTAGAGTGCAAGAACAGTTTAGATGAACGATTCTTGGGAAGCTCCTGTTTCTTTAGCCTCGATATCAATGGTTCTATGCAAGGTTTTTACGTCAGCCAACAAAAAATGTGCTTGCAATGTTTCTAGTGCTAGATTTACCAATGCCAAGGTTTTCAACACTCCGTTAGAGCTGAATGTCAAACTATCTACTGATGTTGCAGATCCCTTTTTTGAGTTTATCATGTATCTCACCACAACATGCCCAGATATAGCGCAACCCTCCATGTGATGAGCGCCATTTTTATCAGATCCTTGGCTACCCCATCTCTAAGCCATTCACCAAATCCTCTATAATGTTTAAGGTGCATCCATTTGGTGATGGTTCTTCTTATCCACATCCTCTTTAGAGCTTACTGACTATGTGGATGCCAATTGAGAGATGCTACTCTATTACTAGCTATTCTATATTAATGAACTCTTTTTTGAACTCGTGGAAGATGAAGAAACATGACATTATAAGCAAGCATTGAAGCTAAATGCCATGTTATTTCCTCTATTGCCAGAGAGAATGTTTAGTTTCATACTCTCCTTAGTAACTTTGATATTTTGTTTTCACCCTTGTATGCATATAACTAAAGAGCCATTAAGATTGCATCTAATCCAGTATGTCAGAGCAAAGAAAGCATATTAATATAGATATCACTATATAATCATCATCTGGATGGACCCTTTCACTTATGATTCTTCTACTGCAAAAATGTTCACATTTTCACAAAGCCAATAGCTTAGAAGCAACATAATTTTCTCATGAATAAGCTTATGCCTAACTCATGCCTGCATCAACATAGAGGTCAGGCATTAACGACGTATATACAAAATTGAGTATAATCTTGTCATGCTATGATAGTATAGAAGTATTTTAGTGATAAAATCAGAATGCATAATATATAAGCTCCAAAAGGTTCTCAAAAGTGTTTTGGATAAAAATTTAGCCATAAGACTTCTGTATACTTCTTTTCTTCTTTTGCATCTCTCACTCTCTCTCTAACATGATAGTTTCTTCATAGAAATAAAGCATCCACAACAAAAAAGTGACCTCCAATGCTTTCTACTTTGATACAAGCAAATGCTCACAGTTGTTGGCATGTCATCCGGATCACAGTTATATGCTTTGCCCCACAAAAGGGCCAAAAACTACTGAAACTAAAAGAAATATGAAGGAGATAAAAGAAAAAAAAGAAGAAAATGACAATTATGACAAGGAAGACACTATGATTTGTATGACCAATCAAAATTAATGGTAGTCAGAGTCATCTCCATCTAATCAATGAGTACACATGATCCAAGTGGAGGTCCCACTCGATCACTATCTGTTTACTTGATGGGCAGTGATGAACACTAACGACCATGAATTTTCTATGGTTATATGGATCAATAGCATTCGTTCCCTGTAATTGTTAACAGCATAAAAAAAATAAAAAAGTATTTATTCCCTGTAACATTCAGAAATGATTAGAACATAAACAGAGGATTGGTGGTCCAATGGTGTTGCTGCTTCTTTCTCAATGGTTGCCTTTGTTGGAAGGCAACCTGAATTTGAGAACCTTTTGAAGGTTGCAAACAGATTTAATTTGCTTTCGAGGTTTTTCATCAGATTCAACAATGCATTTTCCTTTGAACATATTAGTTTCTGATGGTCCTGTTTCCTCGTGCATCACAGGTGTTGACTCATCTGCATAACAAATTCTCACTGATATTGAGAAAAAAGAAGGGGAAGAAGACAGAAGAGAAACCATAAAAGAATGAACAAATAAAAAGTCAACAGAAAAGGAACAACATTAAAAAGGTGACTTGAGGAGCAATGACAACCTGGAAGATAACTTAAAGTTTACCAGTGTCTTGCATACTTGTGAAAAATGTGATAATGCAAGCAGTGCATGGCTAAAAAACGGGAAAAAGAAAAGCACATATACTGTTATAAACTAAGTACTCCTACCACTTTCAGAAAAAACAAAGAATGTTCCTATTGTTTCTTGCCACTCCCCTATCTGCAATACCAGTATCAAGTTAAAAATTGAATATATTCACCTCAGTAAGCAACATATCAGCAGCTATGTACTTATTATATCAGCTAATAGTCATGCTACAGAAGCAAGAAGTAAGAAATATCTATGTGATACCCAGTAAACACATATAGAATAGAGAGCAAAACTGTAAGGAAATTTGCGAAAATGGGTCTACTTCTTTCTTCCAAGGAAATTTCAGAACATAACGAGAAACCTTCAAAAACTAAATTTCAAACAAACATGAAAACAAAGAACTCACCAGCTTCAGTTTACCACCTATTGTCAGAACCGGGTTCATTGTATTCAAACCCTGCATTTGAAAAGAAGAGGTGTGGCATTATCTGCAAAGAATCCAGCAAAGACGGAATGGTCATGCATATAAAACATATCTATGTTTGTGTATTCAGGCAAACATCAAATTAACATCTAGTCATCATTGAAGAAAATCTATACTGTCATGTAAATGAGATTCCAAGGAAACCAGGACCAATGGGGTATAGAACCAATAAAGAAGGATGTTTGATTACAGTTGCCCTACATATTAAATTCGTCACATGGAAAAGTGCGAAGTGTGTGAAAGACCAGTGGGTCCAGGTTAGTGCCTTTGTCCCATGGGAGATGGTGTAATCTATAGTCAGAAGAATATAAAATTACAAGTCAATCAAGGTATACTCCTCTTAATAATGGAAGAATAATACAGTTATTCTGAAATTCTGAATGTTGGCAAGTTCTTCAGAAGCTTTTGATCCATGATCCAAGTGCAAGTTCAACAGTGCCTTTGTTTTGGAAGGAGTAAAAAATTGCGAGTACATTACACATGATGAGTCTAAAAGGTCATGGGATTGCTGGAGAGAAATGTTCTTTATCCATTAACTGATGTTCTTTTCCAAAACCTATGGGTAACCACTATCTGTCAATTAGTTATCGATGTAGAAAACTCTAAATGATGAAAATGCTATAGAGGATGCATCTGTGAGTCGTTTAAAACATTCTCCACTTAGATACATATACAGTTGATGCTTTACACAGCCACAAGAAGTTGAAGGACCATTCAAAATAACCTTCAATTGGTTCCAAATTCAAATGCGCAAGGAAACCAATATTGCATTCATCTTCTCATTTTTTCCTCCAGATTGATTTTATCCTATGCTCTTTTGCCATTCACAGTCACACTTTTCTAGCATTCCTTACTCCATTTGTGAACTGAAGAACATAAGAAACTGAATGTCAACCATATCAGAATAAAGGTTATGGCAGAGGAGCAGTAAGCACTTCATCAAAACAAGACCTTCACCTTGGCATGAGTAGCATGAAAAAAGCAATCAAATAAAAATGGAACTGTAGGTAAAAATAAAATGGATATATAGAAAAATATATGACTAAAACTATTAACATTTTCAGTGTATATGTATATGTGTGATATATATATATATATATATATATATATATATATATATATA